TTACTCTCATTACTGAGGCCACAATTCTAGCCACGAACAAATTACCCACTACAGCTTATAACAGCATCGATACACAGACAGCAGCAACTTTAGATACGACTCAGAATAAAACCTTGACAAGGCTACTAAATGGTAAGCATCTACCTTTAAGTTATTCCGATTTTGTAACAATGTCTAGTACACCTGAATATTTGTTTTCGTTTTAATGTAATATCAGAATACACTTACGTTATGAACAGGAAACGCGGCGAAATCGATTGGAGAATTCAAAAATAGAGCCCTGAATTAAAAAAATTAAAAACTTTAATAAGAGAAAACTAAAAACTTGACAAGATATCGTATCACGAAATATTCACTAACGAAGAATAATACAAATATTTAAAAATTCGCTCATACCCTGTCCCATAAATGGAAAATTAAACTATGCATCGAAATGAATATATTATATATATATATATATATATATATATATATATATATATATATATATATATATATATATATATATATATATATATATATATATGTGTAGTAATCCCTTAGTTAAAAAATTTAATAGATCCAGAATCAGCCGCGATTAATGAAAACTGCGAAGTAGTGTATGTATAATATTAATAAGTGCATATGAAACCATGCAAGTGCATAAATAATCATCTTTATCATCATTATCATACATTCACTAGAGAATTTAAAGGGTTGAGACCGTTTATAGCCATTTTCAAGGTTTTCACAAGTAATATATTTTTTAAACAAACAGACAAACGAGAACAGCAAATAAAAATAATAATAATTCCCCAATGTATAGACGCCGCGGTAAATGAATCACGAAGTATCTAAGGAATACTGTATATATATATATATATATATATATATATATATATATATATATATATATATATATATATATATATATATATACATATGTGTATTTGTGTGTGTGTGTGTGCCTGTTTGTGTTCGCATTATTGATAGTGTTGATTATTTGCTATCATTTTGAGTTAACATCTTCTTATTTTATTAAAAGAAGTAAAGATTTACATCTAGTTCAAATAATTTTAAATAATTTAATATGTCAACAATTTCATATTCCAGTATCAGACTCAATTCCTATTAGCATCAATTTTTCAATCGAGTTTAACCTATCTTTCAATGACCAACTCAACGATAGACATTCAGAAATGTACAACGAAACAGCCAACAACTATACTAAACTGGTAAACACATTTGGTCAAAGTGTTTGTTTTTTATGTTAACTAGGTGCAAATAATATCATAATTTAGCATAACACAGCTGTGTGTAGTTTAACCTTGTGAAATTATATTTTTCAGCTAGCTAAGCAATATGAAAACGTAACAAACTTTGTTCAAATAGATATCAAGCAGTTTAGGTGAGAATCTTTTAAATATCCCTATCAAAGCAGCATAATGCAACATTTTTTTTAATATATGAGATTCAATAACTATTGCAATACCTACAACAAGAAATCAGTGTAATTAAATAAAACAGATATAGAATTTGTATTGATTGTAGTTATAATATGCAGTTATTAAACTGTTAAAACTAATTCAAATTAATTTGCTTTTTAATTTTCTTCAATCAGGTTTCTCGTGTTCTGTTCTCAATGTTAATATTTTAAAATTAATCACACATATTTGCTTTAACGATAGAATCATTTTATCTCCTTATGCATCAGACCAGGCAGTATTATAGTGGACTATGACGTCATCATCAATGCCTTCACCAATAGCTCCGTGTTGGTCAATGTGTCTTTGGTCAGGTCCGACATGCTAAAGGTGTTGGACGCACTGTCACAGTTGCCGGATGTCAGCTTAACATACCTGAAGGAAAACTTCAACAGATCTCTGGATAAAGGTAAATTAAAATACTCATATGAGAACACGTTGCTTTAAAAAAACTGTTTAATAAGCTGTCAATATCTGCCAATTTGTTAGACCCAATTTTTTAAAAGCGGTAGCACTTCAAAATACATTCGACAATACGATATCTATTACATTAAAGTTAGTATAATTCACTTTAAAAATACTAATTCTAAAAACGTTTTCGTAATTTCATAAATATAAATTGCCATTAAAAACCCCGTAAGGTAGGTTTTCTAACATTTTTTTCGTATTGTCCTTTCAGGTGTGGCATATTTAAATAATGTAACGGACAACTTTTGTCTGATCGAGAGTATATGTCCGGCTAATTACAGCTGCGATCGCCAGCAAAAAGTCTGTGTGTATGAGTATGTGAACAGTGAATGTTGTGATGTTACCACTTCAACTGTTTATGATAGATCAGGGTAAGTTTAACGAACACGCTAATATTACAATCAAACACATCCCAGTTATATATATATATATATATATATATATATATATATATATATATATATATATATATATATATATATATACATATATATACATACATAAATATAAATATAAATATATATATATATATATATATATATATATATATATATATATATATATATCTAGATAGATAGATATATATATATACATGTGTGTATAGCTGAGAACAAAACCTACTATTTCTCAGTGAACTTTTATCCATTACGATCTCGAACCAAGAAGATTCCGGTATGAAAGTATCATCCATCATAGCCATCTCTCTTTCTGTGTCGACTGCTGTTGTTATTATAGTGTCCGTGGTGGTGGTCTTTGTTCTACACAAACACAAACACAGGTGAGTTCTTGTTGGCTTTGTCTTGGATGCCTTTAGATAAATTTGCAAAAGTGTTCTTAACTATAGAAATATTTTTATAAGATTATAGCCATGTTCTATTCTATAAAGAAAATAACGTTTTAATACACCTTTATTTTTCGAATTTAATATTATTCAAGTCTATAGGTGATGTGGTTTTATAAGTATTGTTAAAATTGTGAAACAAGATCAATAAAGTAAAGTTTTTAAAAATTGATATTGTGTCTATTTATAGATTTTTTTTTCTTGCCAGAAATAAGGTTGGGACTCTGCTTGAAGATGGCAGCTAAACTCCGATGTGTGGCGTTAAAATCGTGAAACCTACGTCATATTATTTTGTTATTTGCTGCTTGTAAACATGAATTTGTTACCATTATGTTCCACTGTGTTAATGCTATTACAATTGTTCTTTAATCTGCTATGATATGGAAGCTCTACCTGAATATCCAAACCAGCTTTTTAATCTATGACCTTGCTTTGTCTACTTTGCTAACATTGATCCCTAGCACTTCAAGCTAACCATAATATCAAACTACATACCCCATATACCCGAATGGACGACGTGGTCGAATGGTAGAGCGAGTACATGTCCCAGGTTAGAGTCGTAGCGTGTACCTAGGTCCACCAGACCATGAAGGGTACTTGACTTACGTTAAAGCGGCTGGTCATATTTTTTTACCACACTATCCCTTTATATGTCACACGAAAAGGTGAGCTCTACACCTGCCCCGTTAAGCCTCAATTCCAGTTTCATCTTCACCCCCCCCCCCCCGGCAACCGAGCTAATCCAATACCTTACCTCCAAACCAACTGTTACATCTCCCCCCACCTCCCACGCACCCCTAACTTATCCCGAACTTATCCCCAAACCCCTTGTTTCATCTTCTCCCTCACTCCCCCACACGCACCCCTAACTTATCCTGTACCTTACCTCAAAACCCCTTGTTTCATCTCCCCCCACGCACCCCTAACTTATCCCATGCCTTACCCCCAAACCCCATCCTTGAAACACCTCCTCACACCTTTCCTCACGCCCCAGCACCCCTAGGTTATCTCGGCCCCGTCCTACAGGTACAAACATCCCATTACACTAAACTGCCCACATCCGTAATGTCAAGACCAAAAAAATACATTACCATTTGCCAGCCAGATAACACTAATCTCAGTACTAAGATTTTAAAAAATCTCAGCATATAAAAAAAACACCTCTCTTTATCTATTATTTAGTATTTAATTTTTTTTACATTGAGTTTTATTTTTTATGCATTTATATCATTACATTTGTATTTTACTCTTTAAATACAAAATGCTTTTCCTTTAAAATGTGGCTCTGTATTATGCTCAATTATAACACACACTAAAATGATATAGTTAGAATACAACATATCGTTATAGTTACAATTGATGTATTGTGTGGTGATCGTGCGTACGTTTTTTCAGTGACAATTCAAATGTATTAAAATATTGTTGTTTATAATAGAGTATCTAGCCAGACTCTTTATCTGCAGTGCTTTGAAAAAGATTGTCTGAGGAAAAATGTTAATAATCGAAAAAAAAAAGAGCAACAATCATTGACATTTGGATGGGAAGTTAAAAACAATTCCTAGGCCTAAAAACTGTTTATGTTTGGTTTTATATCTATTGTAACCATGGTTTCCATACTGGTTGAGCCTTATTTATCTCCCTTCTTGACTATGTGTCAAAATCCAGATAGAGGCTTGCAGTTGACACAACTTGCTGAAAGGTCGAGATTTTTTTTGGCAGTGGAGTGTCTTATAGGGGTTCAGTTACTACACGCTAACTACTTTAGGGTCATGAGACGTTTAAATAACAATTTATGTTGCTCTTGTTAATTTAAAAAAATGCAATTTCAAATAAAAAGTAGACATTTAAAAGCAAAGTTGAAACAAATATGTCATTCTATTTATTACGGAATTACAGCAACACATAATATTATTTAGTTGAATAGTTGCTCAAAATGTTCTGTGTGTCGAAATACGATTGAGCCAACATTGTCAAGTCACAATAACAAAACATCAAACATATTTCATCAATGTTCGGTCTTTCTAAAGTTAGCTCTATTGTTGGTTTATTTTATTTTGAATGTTTCAGCATCTATCAGCTTGACCCATTAAAACTGAATTGAACGTAGCGTTTTGTAGCGCTAGTTATTAACCGAAATATCTCAAATTAATCTTCAAATATGATTCATTATATAATTAACGAAACAAAATAAATTTTAACATTACATATTTCATTTTAATTCATATTTTGATTGATTGTAGAGGAATAAATTCCAAAGACATGCAACCACACATAGTTATGTGCTTACGTTTAATAACAAACGTTTAATTTATGGCAAAAATATATGAAATCACTCACGTTATTTCTTTAGGCAAATAGTGGGGGCAGAAAAATCAGAAAATGCCATTATGATCTGGCAAATATATAAACGTAAATGTAGCAAATTAAAAATGAAAGTTTTCATCCTATAACTGTACACAGCAGAGGCGGAGCGAACCCTCCCGGCGCCCGGAGACAAACTTTCAATTTGGCTCCCTCCCAATAAATTTTTTATATTTATAATTCAAAATAGCAGCTAAAATGATTTTAACTTGGCGCCCCCAGGGCCAGCACCCGGGGGGGGGGGGGGGGAGGACATATATACCCCCCCCCCACCCCCGCAGCTACGCCTCTGGTATACAGGTTTATATATGTGATGTTTTTAAAATCATTCTTTGTTTTGAATGTGTTCAACTCTTTGTGTCAATTCTTTGACATCCTCGAACAAATTTTGCAGTTCTTTTTTTCTAAGTTCTTTTTGCTTCATTGTTTTTGTCAAGTTTGGAACAGATTGAACGAAAGCGTTATCTGCCCTTTCCTCATGAGTTAAGTGGTTGAACCCAGGTAGAGGGGTGGCAGGTTTAAGTACAATATCAGGAGCGTCCATGTTCGATTTCGATACATTGGAAAACAAATAGTTCTCTAAATGTGTGGGTGATTGTTTGTTTAACTCATCATGCAATGTTGAATCATTGTGTTTAAAACTATCAGTGTCATCTTGTGTCAGAGTTTTTGTTCGTGATTGTACAGGGTCGTCGTCGTGAGTTATCTTATCACCATGGTTGGGAGTTAACTCCCTTTCGTCGTCTGAATCCTGGTCAGAGTTGTAGAACGTGAAGCCGCTGATCTCCTGACTCGACTGGTCGGGTAGAAACACGCTGATGGTGTTTCTAGCCTCGGGTTCCAGTACCCTAGGGGTGGGAAGGGTGTCGATCAGGGGTTTGACAGTCTGTGAGGTGTGGGGGATGGAATGGAGGGACTGGCGGAATGACGTATTTGGTGTGTTGTAACGCCTGCTCAGTTTACGCTCGCTGTGTGTGTCGTGTCTTGATTTGTCCGTGTCGATGACGTCATCATCGTCGTCACTCTCCTGACGTCTCAAGCTCCCACGGCTGACGTAATAATCGTAAGAAAAGTTTTGAGACAACTCCAAGTCAGTGTTTTCTTGGTTATTCCCCTTTTTAACGTGTAGAGCGTGGTTTGAACTTGTATAAACGCTGTATGGCGATAAGGATAAGGGACTTAACCCTTGGGTGGTCAGACTTTGGGCTGGCAGATATGGACTGACCATCTGCCGTCCTGCCGGTCTAGGGGCACGTGACCTCAGCTGGGGCAGCTGTCTGGGCCTGACCTCCAGCTGTTCCTGGACCTTGACCGACTTCCTGCCGACGTTTGGAATGCTGCTAGTCGGTTGGATCAGCCTCTGGAGATTTGCCTGGACAGTCTCATCCAGCTGTAACACAACGGGGTACGATTTAAAACTGTGAACGTAATCTAAGGATCAGTACCTACATGTATCGTTAACCAGGTGTTGTGCTTATAACTGTTTATAACAGTTTACGTCAGTATTAAAATGCTTACACTATGAATCCATTATAAATATTAAAAAAATGAATAATTCAGTAACACTTATTTAGGTCGTAGGGGTAGATTTATGTGGTGTGTCTAGGGCAGCGGCGTAGCGAGGTCGGGTGTCACCCGGTGCGGCACTCCCCCCACTCAAACTTTCGATTTGCACCCCCCCCTTCAAACTTTCGATTTGCACCCCCCGCCCCCCTCAAATTTTTATCTATTTATTTTAATTTGTTTGGCCTTGGTGTCACCCCTCTTAATGGTGTCACCCGGAGCGGTCCGCCCCCGCCCCCTCGCTACGCCTCTGGTCTAGGGCTAAGTGTCGCAAGGCGGCGCCCTCTCCTTCCACTTTGAACAACCACTGCCGGATGCCTCCATCTAGGTGGCTCGTCTTGGTCACGAACACCTCCCCTTTGAAGTTTATCTAGGAACTCTAGCGCCCTAGCCTGGTGACCTTTACTGGAAGGCCATACGTCACACTGTTGCCGTGCTAGCATCAGTTGATTGATTTTAGAGTTGTCTCTCCTAGATGGGTTGCTGTCCCTAACTATCAAGCCGGATCTTCCCGTGAGTTTGAGCTCAGGACATTGCGTTGAACAACAATAAGCTTTACCAACCCAACCACGCCGACCCACAAGAATCCATTACATCTATTTAAGTAGTTTGCAATAATATTTATAGCAAAGTATTATAATTAAAAAAAAACGGATGCTACCGAAAAGACGACTGCACTAAGTTGGTAGAAATTAACCGTTAAATAATACATCTTGTGAATGTCAGCTCTAACCAAATCCCTAACCCGAAACCTAACAAGTCCTACAATCAATTCCTTTGACTCATTTCTTAAATTACTACAATACAAAGTAACCAGTCTGATTTCTTGGAAGAATCGTAGTGGGGAATGTTAAAAAGGAAGACTATATTTTGAATTATAATATAGTGTAAAAACTAAATGTATTATATTCGATGGAGATCATTACCTTAGAGTTAGCTGACCTTGGTGTATGTTGAATTATCTCCCTGCTCTGCCTAGGGTCAGCACCAAAGTGAGAACTTGTATCCGGGATTTGTTTCGTCCTGACTGGGATTTGTTCCAGCAGGGGCGTGCCCTGTAGGGGGGCGATGGTGGGGTAGTGGGGCCTGGGGCGCATCTGTCGGAACTTCTCCACTGTGGTCAGCAGGTTACGCCCCTGGGCTACAGGGCCTGACCGCTTGACAGTGTCGTCGCCAGTAAACTTGAGACGGTAGGAGCTGGACTTGCTGGTCAGTGAGTGGAGTCGTAAGCGGTCAAGGGCTTGGGCCAAGTACACCTGGGGGGGGGGAGTGGGGGGGGGGGTGGACATGATCATAATCAGTCTGATCTCATAGTTAAACTTTGTATTACAATATACATTTTTTTTTACTTTTATTATTATTGTTTTTGTAGTTGTTACAATTAATGGGACGGTATGGTCGTAAGGTTAGAGCGTAATATTACTAACTTGGAAATCTTGAGTTCGTATCCAGGGATAAACATCCCTGAGTCCACCCAGCTTTGATGGGTACCTGACTCTCGTTAGGGAATGTTAAACCGGCTGGACATAGTGCTGACCACACTATTCCTTCATATGATGTGGTCACAGAAACAGGCAAACTCTACTTCGTCTGCCCCATGGACCTCCAGGTTCGTAAGGGTAACTTAAAATATTTTAAATTTCTTTTATATAATAAATTATTTTAAACAACATCAGCAAACATAAGTTAAATGCTAAGATTACAAAAGGTGAACAGCGATACATAATTAGCTGTCCTGCATCACGTGACTTTTAATGACGTCAGAAAATAAAATGCTTGCCTGCTCCTGGTCCAGCAACGAGTCCCTCAGTGACGTCAGACGGGCGATGTACTCGGCGTGACCCAGTTCCACCCCGCCCGTGTCACGTGACTTGAGCCAGAACGAGGCGACCTTGGGTCGTTTTGACTCGACGCTGGACCGCTCCATCAATCTAACAATACAAAGATAAACATTGTGATACAATCTGGCAACACAAAGATAAACATTGTGATACAACAAAATCTGGCAACACAAAGATAAACATTGTGATACACCAAAATCTGGCAACACAAAGATAAACATTGTGATACAATCTGGCAACACAAAGATAAACATTGTGATACAATCTGGCAACACAAAGATAAACATTGTGATACACCAAAATCTGGCAACACAAAGATAAACATTGTGATACAATCTGGCAACACAAAGATAAACATTGTGATACAATCTGGGATTGAGGGTAAATATAGAAGTGTATTACCATGCATTTTTTTAGTAAATGTCCCTTATAAAAGGGAATGTGAAATACATAGTGGGAGTTGGATGTTTGTATAGGTGAAGTGTTTACTAATGAGACAAGGAACTGAACATGTCTCAATTCGTCCTACCTTTATCTCTATAGAATCTAGTATACTGGGTTTTTTTTTCCTTTTTTTTTTGCCTCAGACATGTAATATATAGCGTCAGTTTGCCTTAAATGTTCGCTTTAGTATAACAGTTTTTATCATCTGCTTGTGAGGACTGATACAGATTTACAGTAGAAAATAAAATTAATACAATTACACATTAGATCGTTTCAATAACGATGAAAGCTAATTTCCGTGTTTAAAATATTACATTGTTTATTATGTAGCTTGTTTCATTAATAACACTTAAACCTATAAACCTATTAATAATTTTACTCTTTATAATTAATAATATTTGAACATATATATTCATGTTTTTATATTTATTATAATAAAAAAATTATCTTATAAAAATGTTGATACAATAAAACATATAAGTATTTTATACATCATTTTGAAACATAAAGGTAAGGTTTTTTCCCCTTAGTTTTTTTAAAAATAGAATTTTTATGCACGATTAAATATTCAATGTAAACGCATTCCATTTTTTTATCACTGCAAGCAATGTGTCTAAACTTCTGAAAAATACTGACTTACTGTATTGTAATATTAAGTCTATTTGCATGTTAACGAAGTAACAAAAAATAAATGCATAAAATGTATTGGCCTAATAATTATCTAGGCCTAAATATTATTATATTAAAAACAAGCAAATACTTAAAATAATTAAATAGATGAATAAATAAACTAATCAATGAATCAACGAAAAAACGAAAAAACGAATAAACGAATTAACGAATCAACGAATCAAAGAATCAACGAATCAACGAATCAACGAATTAACGAATCAACGAATCAACGAATCAATCAATCAATCAATCAATCAATCAATCAATCAATCAATCAATCAATCAATCAATCAATCAATCAATCAATCAATCAATCAATCAATCAATCAATCAATCAATCAATCAATCAATCAATCAATCAATCAATCAATCAATCAATCAATCAATCAATCAATCAATCAATCAATCAATCAATCAATCAATCAATCAATCAATCAATCAATCAATCAATCAATGTGATACAACAAAATCTGGTAACACAAAGATAAACATTGTGATACAACAACATTGTTATCCAACCAGAAGCAAAGTTTCCACCTGAGGACATGTCGCCTCAAGGTAAAATAAAAACATGGTTTTTAACTAAACTGGAGAATTCCATTTTGTTTTTCACTCCTACAAATGTCTTAAAAAATTAGATTAAAGTTTCCTTTACCTCCTAAATCACATAAGTCTTAGAATAATTCTCCACTTTATCGTTCAGGGGATACTTAAACATTCTGAGAAATTTGACACTCGGCTAAAAATAGAATTCTTCCACGAAGAGTGAAGATAACAACCCCTCAACAACTGGGATAAAGTTTGTTATTGTGTAGCAGCCTTGAATTTATAGTTTCCATGTATTGAACAATAGCCCTAACCTTAACCTTAATCCCTACCCAAACTCACCCCCATCCCAACCTTAACAGTATTAAGTTTAGGAGCGATTAGTAATCGTTGTAATGTACAAAGACAGTTTTTTTTGGCCGAGGGTAATATAGAAGGGGAAGGTGATAATTCATCTGTTGGGCTAAATACTGGGATGGAGGGTAAATATAGAAATGTATTCCCATACATTTTTAGCGCAATTTCCATACTGACAATTGCGATTATTAATTCGTTATTTCTGGATGGGTGGATGTGTGTCCGCAGCTTTAAGTCGTATCTCCTCCTCAACGAAGCAATATCGAGGACTAGTTCCAAAAGCAAATATGTTAAGCAATTTCCGAGGATGGTTGTGGGCCCAAAAAATTCCCGGAATTCCTTCCTGGATTTCCCGGAAAAGATAAAAAAACCTCGAACAAATGCAGTTTTTGGCCCATATCTAGGCTACCAGACCACTTAGCGACTTGAAACATTTACCAATCGATTTCTGCCATAATTTAGAATAATATTGCCGAAGAAAGTTTTCAAAAATATCCTTTCGTTCGGTCACAATTTTTTTTTAAATTACATTATACATAATACACTACAGTACTATATTATTGTGTTGCATTATTTATTTGCTGAATATATGATTTATCTCGATTTAAAATTGTTATGGATAACATAAGGAAATTGCGCTTAAATTGTCACTAGACTTTTTATTAACTTGTTTTAGTAAATGTCCCTTATAAACGGGAATGTGAAATACATAGTGGGAGTTGGATGTTTGTATAGGTGGAGTGTTTACTAATGAGACAAGGAACTGAACATGTCTCAATTCGTCCTACCTTTATCTTTATATAATGTTTTTTTTCTTCTTTTTTTTTTGCCCCAGACATGTAATTTACAGCGTCAGATGCCTTAAATGTTCGCTTTAGTATTACAGTTTTCATCATCGGCTTGTGAGGACTGATACAGATTTACAATAGTAATATTTCTTTCTTACTTATAGCCTGTTTTTATTCATTTAAGTGGGTTTACTTATACATAGATCTAATACAATACGTCTAATTTTACAATTTTATTTTTTTAAAAACCCTGAAAATGCAAATGTGTAATGAAATGGTGATTCAAGGGATTTTTTTTTTTCCTCGGCGTGGTGGAAAGAGGGGGCTTGGGCTTTTAAAGAGAGCTGAAATGAATTTGGGATTAAAGAAAAATAGTATTATAGCCTACTTATTATAAGCATCTGGAATGTTATGTTGAGTATAAACCAAGTATTTTTTTTTTAAATTCTTAGCTTTTATTTTAAATTAAAACATGTTACAACTCATTATTTAGTGAGTGCCATTAGTCTGCTTTCACCCCCCCCCCCCCCGCCGCCTCAGACATGTAATTTACATCGTCAGTTGTGTGTTCGTTTTAGTATTACAGTTTTCATCATCGGCTTGTGAGGACTGATACAGATTTACAATAGTAATATTTCTTTCTTACTTGTAGCCTACTTTCATTCATTTAAGATGGTTTACTTAAACATAGAGCAGGGGTCGGCAACCTTTTGAGACGGAAGAGCCAAAAGTTACAATTTTCAAAATTTCCCAGTTTTTTAAAAGCCACTAACATTTTTATTTTAATATTTTATTATTTGATTAGGACTAAGTAAATAAATGTGATTTGTTATTTAAAATAGTTTTAAAAATGAAATAATATTTATTCATATAAAAACATACACATGTTTTGCTAGAATAATACATTTAGTAATCTAATAGTATAACTATAGGACTATCCCAATCCACTTTAGAAGCTGTTAACGTTTTTTTTCTTTCTTTACGGATATCACCGGCTCAGGAGGTGTCTGCCATTAGCATAGCAGGCCTCACACGGCCAACTCCGACTACCGGGTTTGAATATCGGTTCGATTACCTTGTATCGGTCGCTTCTGTCCTTCGGCTATCACCAGGCTTATTTTCCACCCCACTGAACGCAGGGTAAACTGGTACCACATAGTCTAGTACCCGGCTCAACAGTAGTAGGCTAATAACTAAAAAAAAAACTACGTCACTCACGTCAAATTTATGATTACTGACACACATGGAAATGCATTCTGAATAAAATAACATTCCCATTTAAAAACATTCGAAAAAGTCGGCACTTGGGCAGTGGCAAGCATGGGATTGTTGCCATGGGGCTGTGGGGCTGGGCCTGGTGCCCAAGCTGCTGTCAGCTGTCCGTATACTTTCTACTGCACATATCCTCAATGTTCTCTGATAAGTGTTTTAATTTTGTTTAAAGTTGATTTTGTTTACATTATGATATTTGATGAGTTTTGAAAATGAAATAATACACGCAACTTCATGTCAATTACAATATAGTTATTATACATAATGGTGAGCCGCATCTTGACCGCAAAAGAGCCGCATGCGGCTCGCGAGCCGCAGGTTGCCGACCCCTGACATAGAGTATAAAAACCTAGTAGAAGATAGAATTGATCCAGAAGAGCAAAGGAAATCGCACAGCGCAGTTAAATGCTCATTTACATATTTTAAAAATTACATTGTTTATAATGTAGCTTGTTTCTTTATTAACTCTCAAACCTATTAATAATTGTACTCTTTATAAATAATAATATTTAAACATATATATTCATGTAACGTAAATCATTTTCATATTTATTATAATAAAAAATAATTATTTTATAAAAATGTTGGTACAATAAAACCTTTAAGTATTTTATACATCATTTTGAAACATAAAGGTAAGGTCTTTTCCCCTTATTTTTTTAAAAATAGAATTTTTATGCACGAATTAATATTCAATGTAAAAGCATTCAATTTTTTTAATCACTGCAAGCAATGTGTCTAAACTTTTGCAAAATACTGACTTACGGCATTGTAACATTAAGTTTGCATGTTAACGAAGTAACAAAAAATTAATGCATAAAATGTATTGGCCTATTAATTATCTACTTATTATTATATTAAATACAAGCAAATACTTAAAATAATTAAATAGATGAATAAATAAACTAATCAATGAAACAACGAATCAACGAATTAACGAATCAACGAATCAACGAATCAACGAATCAACGAATCAACGAATCAACGAATCAACGAATCAACGAATCAATC